GTGATTTTTATGATACTGAGCAAAATCCTTTCACGCTGTTCTGAAACACAACATATTTTTCTTTCTTTCACAAATGATTATCACAGAATTCATGTGGTTTTCCCACACAAAGGAATTACTCTGTCGACACATTAACTTTTCAGATTGCACACATCTTAACCATCTATGTTTGTGTACTTTTTATTTCTGGCAGAAATTTCTCAAAATCCTAGCCTGAGGCAAAAAGTTGGAAATAGATTTTTCTCCAGGGATGCCCTTTGTCAACATTCAGGAAAGTTTAATTCTTTTTTTTGGTTGATAATTATTTTATTTATCTATGTATTTATTTTTGGTTGTGCTGGATCTTCATTGCTGCGTGGGCTACTCTCTAGTTGTGGTATGTGGTCTTCTCATTGCAGAGGCTTCTGCTGTTGGAGGGCCTAGAGGGCATAGGCTTCATTGGTTGCAATTCGCTGACTCTAGAGCACAGGCTCAGTAATTGTGGATCACAGGCTTAGTTGCTCCATGGAGCGGCATGTAGAATCTTCCCAGACCAAAGATAGAACCCATGTCTCCTACATTGACAGGAAGACTCGCTACCACCAAGCCACCAGGGAATTTCTGTCTGTCTGTGCTTAGTCGCTCAGTTGGGTCCAACTGCAACCCCATGGACTGCAACCCACCAGGCTTCTCTGTCCATGGGATTCTCCAGGCAAGAATACTGGAGTGGGTTGCCATGCCCTCCTCCAGGGGATCTTCCCAACCCAGGGATCGAACCCAGGTCTCCCGCTTTGCAGGTGGATTCTTTACCATCTGAGCCACCAGGGAAAGTTCAAATTTCCCTTCACTCAGATGGAAGGGTGCTGAATCCTCAGCAAACAGAAGAAATATCTATGTTCATCTAGTCCAAACTAGATGATAAGTTAGTTTGGTGGGGTCACTTCTTTTAATGTTGGGATCCTTAGGAGAAAACCCACTCAATTACACTTTATGGCATTGGGACAAAGACTATTAATATCATCATCATTGGTTTAATTATGAATGTTTATTGTCCATTGGAAAAAAACTCAGAATATCTTCATGTCTGTGGTGAACTGGACAGTTGATATTAGATTCTATTAGTTTATAATTATTATTTAATTCATAGTTAATTATATCATTCTATTCTAGTTAATTATAGTTAATTATATCATTCTATTCCAGTTGCAAGTATTCAACTAATATCCTATTAGTTGAATATTTTCCATTCCTACTTCTGCCCCCCAGCAACAGAAATCAGTCACAAATGAAAAAATAAAAAAATGAGTACCTTTCTCATTTGGCCCTACATCAAATGTATTTATCAACATGCAGAATTAATTCAGCAAATGCAACTCAAATTGAGAAAGCTACCTTCTCTTTCCATCTATATTGTGTGTTGTGTGCTTAGTCACTCAGTTGTATTTGACTTTTCAAGACCCCATGAACTGTAGCCAGCCAGGCTCCTCTATCCATGGGATTCTCCAGGCAATACTGGAGTGGGATGCCATTTCCTCCTCACTATTTTAGGTCAAATTCTCATCACCTCACCTGACTTATTATGATGGCTTCCTGTTGGTCAACTTGTCAACATATTCTTTCTCCTCCAGTCTGTTCCACTAATGTCTGATTCCTCTTCCTAAAACTCAACTATGATTAAGTCATTATCCTTCTCAAACATCTTTTTGTACTTGATGAAAGTGAAAGAGTTAGTCGCTCAGTTGTGCCCGGCTCTTTCATTGTGACCCCATGGACTGTATGTAATCTGCCAGGCTCCTCTGTCCAGGAGATTCTCCAGGCAAGAATACTGGAGTGGGCAGCCATTCCAGGGGATCTTCCTGACCAGCGATTGGACCCAGGTCTCCTGCATTGCAAGCATTTTCTTTACTGTTTGAGCCACAGGGAAGCCCTAAGTTTCTGTCCTCAGGACTCGGCGTCTCTATCTAATTATCTCTCACCATTTACACTCTGGAAAACAATCTCAGAACCTTTGAAACAGTTAATCCCTTTCCACTGGAAAAGTTTTAATTATGAATATGCTTACTCACCCAGAGATTATATTTGTATTTATATCTTTCCTACACCGTAAATTGGCAGGAAATTCCCCTTGGATTACTGATGGCAGTATCTACCAACTCTACCCTCTGCTCCAGAAGAGTAGGTGCCTGTTGTCTGGAGTTGCTTTGCGGGTTCCTATGAGAAGGCAGGCTCCCTTAGGTGCATTGCTCCATCGCTGAAGATCACCCGTCCTAGGACTGTGAGTGTGTGTGTGTGTGTGGTAGTGAGCGAGGTGGAGAGGGGAACGGAATCTTGGATTTCTGAGGCTAGTTTCCTTTACAAGTGTGGACAAATGGAACACTATCCAGCAAACAAGAATGGAGAAGGATCAGAGTCACTACATTTTGAGATTTTTTTTGGCTGCGCTGAGTCTTCATGGCTGTGCATGCTTTTCTCTAGTTGCAGTGAGTGGGGGCTACTCTCTAGGTTCAGTGCTCAGGTTTCTCATTGCCGTGGCTTCTCCTGTTGTGGGGCATGGGCTGTAGGCACTTGGGCTCCAGTAATCACAACATGTGTGCTCAGTATTTGTGGCACACGAATTTAGTTACTCTGTGGCATCTGGAATCTTCCTGGACCAGGGATTGGACCCATGTCCCCTGCATTGGCAGATGGATTCTTATTCACTGTGCCACCAGAGAAGTTCCATTTTAAGATTTTAAATGGATATGCCTCTTTGGAAGCTAGCTATGAAACCTGGGAAGAAAAGAGGTTGTCATTTTAAATTCATGGGATGCTAAATGGGGATCAAGTCCTAAAATTTTCAATATAAGCTCCTAAAGGCGGGGTCTTTGTCCAGGTTGGTGGACATTTTACCTTCAGAGTCAAACATAGTACCTGGGACATGGTAGATACTCCACATCTAGTAAGCACATAGTAAGTATTTAGTGCTTATTAATAAATACTTAGTACTTATAACTATTATAAATATTAGTACTTATAAATAAATAGCCTATTATACCTGATTCGGCTTATTTGGAGGTGCTGTGTATTTGAATACAAAAAGCTGCAGATTTACACACACATGCTCAGAATACCTGAGATGGGTTTCGAAAAAGACTGGATTGGGCTCCGGTCATGTGACCCCTGGCCTTGCAGGTAGAAGGCAGCTCTATCACGTGACCATCATGTGACACTGGGCAATCACTTCATTCCCTGATATTCTCCTCTGTCTTCTGAAAACTGATGCAGCTAGATTAAATGATCTTTTCATTCCAGGTTTAAGATTGTTTCATCCCCTGGATGGCACATTTTGTCACAGAGCTTCTTCTGTCTTGGCTCTAACAGTAACATTTTTATAGGCTGTGCTTTGGCAAGTGAGAAACTGAAAAGATAGGATCAGTGGTTATAAAACCAAAGTGGTTTTCAGGTTCTTAAAAGTAGTATTGTTAAGGTCTTTTATTCGTACAGCAAAGTCTAGTGATGAGCTCATCATTTCCAATATAAATTGAATATTTCTTTGTGTTTGTAATTTGATTGGAACATTTTGCTTAGAATTTAACCTTGCCAAGAAGTTTTCCAAGCACTTTTAACACAAAAATGACATTCTGCCATTAGGTCAGAATCCATAGGAAAATAAATATATAGAAAAACATCAGTGACTTTAAAAACCAGATCCCTAACTTCAAAAGATGTAGGAGACTGAGAACCATGATGAGAACTTAAGGCTCTGTCAGGGCAGTCCTGTTTCAATTTGGACAAAGTATTTCTTTTATAGGGTTTTGGATGTATAGAATATGAGTGTCAGTAGTTCAATATAGGCAATACATCATCTGAAAAGGAACACTCAACTTCTCATTAAAGAATTGATACACAAGGTTACTTGAAAGCACTTTCTAATAAAATCCTGTGGATGATGGATAAAATATAACACACTTTCCATTTAAATGCACCACTGAGCTCACAAGAAAGCAAAATGTGTCCTCAGGGTCAAAAACAAAGCATCTCTAAAAGTCAGATTTTTGAGAACATATGCAAATACTAAAAATTTTCTGGGGGTTAGGGGGATGGGGATAATTAGGTTTTGATATCCAGCCAGGAACAGGAAAGAAAATCTTAAACCTATGCTTTGTCATAAGTTGGAGGTGGCATCCCTCAACAGCGTTTAGAACCCTTGAAGGTCTATACCCAAAGCTAAAGATAGGAGTACTAGAAAAATCCGCCCACCAGCATAGGATGATAGGAAGACAATCTTGCTCTTCTAATAACAAATGAGGCAAGAGAGGCTGTTGTTGTTTAGTCACTAAGTTGTGTCTGACTCTTTTGAGACCCAGTAGACTGTAGCCTGCCAGGTTCTTGAGTCAGTGGGATTTCCCAGGCAAGAAGACTGGAGTGGGTTGCCATTCCCTTCTCTGGGGGATGTTCCCCACCCAGGGGTCAAACCCTGTCTCCTGCACTGCAGGCAGATTCTTCACCACTGAGCCGCCAGGGAAGACCCACGAGAGGCTGATCCGCATTAACACATTCTCTGCTTCTTGCATTTCTACAGAGGAAAGTAGCTGTACTGATTAACATTAAATTTTATTTAATCATGTTTAAAGGGAAGCTCTAAAATACTAGAAAAAAAAAAAAAAGGATAAATGTGTGGACGGGTCATCATTCATTTATTGCTTTCTTGTCTTTGCAGCTAGTCTGTGAGTTCCGGGAGACTAGAGACCATTACTTGGGCATTGTACCACACCCTTGCCAACACCGATTTCTCTAGCAGCCAGTCCTGAGCCTGGTTAAATGTGGATTGAAATGATGAGCCAGCCAAGAGCACTGTTTCCTGGGAGTGGCTGTTTGCGGTCTGGGATCTCTGGCCTCCTACCAAGCCGGGGACCCACCAGACACCCCACCCAGACCCTGGGTGCTCTGCTGTGTGGCCTCTCGCAGCTGCGCCCCGCACCCCGCCTAGGCTGCGGCTGCGTCACTGCGAGGATGAAGGGATCCCCGTGTGCCGTGCGCACATGGCCTTGTTTGTGATTAGCCGATCCCGAGGGAAAACAGGCTGTCCAGCCCCTGCTGCCCTTAGCGTTTCCTGTGGCTGTGTTCCGCAGGAGGGTGGGCCGCGGGGCGGGGGAGACGAGTTTGCACCCGAGGATGACTCGCCTGCATGCCGCTGTGCCCCCTGCACCGCTCCCCAAGCAGCAAAGGAGGGGACCTGGGCTGTTCCTTTCAGGGCCACCCGGTCCCTGAACGACGGGGGAACACCCGCTCCCTCTGCCAAGTGGGCAGTGTTTAGGCTGCGCCTGGCGGGGAGAGTTGGTTGAGTCACTTGGAATTGAAGTAAACCCTGCTGCCGGGCTGGGGGTGGGGGGATAGGCGAGGTGCACAACCTCCCAGCCCGCAGTCTCCCATCTGCTGGAGAGTCTGAGCCAGAAAAAAAGGGCAATTGGTCCAAGAGATCGTTTAAATGTAGCTTCTTTTGTGAGTGGCAGATGGCAATGTTCGTGTCACCCTGAGATCCAGGGCGGGAGGGCAGCCCTCATTAGGGGTCTGGAGAAGATCTGGGGTGGGGGGAGTACTTTCCAGTATTTCTCAGTTCTGTGTCCTCCTGCACAATTTGAATTCCACTTCCTTCCTCTGTTCTCCCCACACTGCCCCTCCCCTCCAAAACAAAACACAAAACCCTTAGATTTCAGTCCCAGGATATATCTGTTAGTTTTCAAATTCTTAAAAAGAAAAAAAAAATTCATTGTTATTTAATTGTGTTATTGAAGAAAAGCTAGAGCAGGTAGATCAGGGCTAAAATTAAACAAGTCTTCATGGGAAAAAAAAGTTTTCTCCACAGGTAACAGGTAATTAGGATATAGATGAAACAAAATGCTGCCTGGGATTTAACTTCAGGTTGCAAAAATCTAAGTTCCTGTGCCCCACACACAGTGAGGCCAAACAAAGTGAAACGCTGGAGTTTGCAGCAGGGAAAAGCTTATTGCAAAGTCATGCAAGGAAAACGAGGTGTCTCTTGCTCTAAAAAGATTTGTGCTTCCCAAAGGATTTCAGAAAGCATTTTTAAAAGTTGGATGAGGGAGGAGAAGCGGTCGCAGGGTACCTGATCAGCTCATGCACGATTTCCTGGTTGGCTGATGGCGAGGGCCCAGGGTGGTGTCACAGGGTTAACTTTCAGTCCTCAGACTCTGAGAGGCCTGGGGCTTAGTGCTCATGGTCATCAGGTAGCTAACCTCTTTCATTTGGTAGGGGGTGTTTTTTCGCAACTGCAAAACAACTCAGGAAATTTGCATAAAATACTATTATCCAGGTCCTTCTGAGAGGAGTTGGCTTCCCTCCTCTTGGTGCAGAGGTAAAGAATCTGCCTGCCAATGCGGGAGCTGCAAGAGACTTAGGTTCGATCCCTGAGTCAGGAAGATCCCCTGGAATAGGAAATGGCAACCCACTCCAGTATTCTTGCCTGAAAAATCTTATGGACAGAGGAGGCTGGCAGGCTATAATCCATGGAGTCGCCAAGAGTCTGACATGACTGAGCATGCCCGCACGCGCATGTGTGTGCATGCACACACACACACACACACACACACACACACACACACACTCTGAGAGGAACTAAAGCAGAGGATATGGGGGAAGAGCTGTCTGAGGAAGGCCCCATAGAGTCCTGCTGGGGTACAACAGTGAGAATCAAGAGTTGGCAGTACATCTCTGCCCCTCTCCCCCATGGTCTTCTCATCTGGAGATGGCAAGACTTGGCCCAGAGATCTCTGAGTGTCTCAATGAACCAATCTAAAAGTTTAAGCTGCAGCAATGACACTGTGGTGCTATAACTTTAAAAGCCTCTCTGGGATTTCTCAGCCTTCTGTGTCAGTGGAGTCTGAACCCCAAAAAGGGCAGCTCCAAATTAAAGGATGAGAGCTTTGAAAGAGTGAGGCAAAGCCCAAGAGACACAAAGAGTGGGTGTGTCTCTGGGAAGGGGCAGTGAACTGTGAGAACAAGGCTCAGATACCTGGATCTATTTCATGGTTTGTCTCATGAACTCTGCACATTTGCTCCTGGGGAGGTTTTATTTAATGATGCTGTGAGAGGCTCAGGTAACACTGAAGGCCTATGTTTCAAATGATTATGCTGAGGCTTAGTGCAGGGGAGGCAGAGAGGAGATGGAAGTAGGGCTGGGAGAATTGGGTGCTCAGTGGATGTTCCCCTGGCTCCCTGAGGATTGGTAGGGTGGGCTCTGCTGTTCTGCCTTTCAACACCTTCTCAGGGTATCAAACCATTCAGCAACAGGTGGATCCAGAGTGGCTTTGGGGTGCAAAGTTACAGGAGGGTATTCTGAGGCTCGCTGATATCGTATCAATACTTGACTTCCAAACATGTGCGCTAAGTCGCTTCAGTCATGTCCAGCTTTTTGTGACACTATGGACTGTAGCCCGCCAGGCCCCTCTGTCCTTGGGATTCTTCAGGCAAGAATACTGGAATGGGTTGCCATGCCCTCCTCCACGGGATCTTCCTGACCCAGGGATTGAATTCACATCTCTAAACCTCCTTCATTGACAGGCAGGTTCTTTACCACTAGGGCCACCTAACCACTAGGCATTCTAAATTGCTTTCAAGAAATAGCCCCCTCCTTGTGGACATCTATCACATTTAAAGGGATGACTGCTTGTTATAGGATCACAAACTCCAAATCACACAGATTCAAGTTCCAGCTCTGTTCTTTCTTCCCTGTGTGTACTGCAGAGCTGCTGGGTACGGTTGTGCAGGATGTTCACTGCTCAAGTGTCAGACCCAAGAAGTGAGTAGGATCTGAAACACAGCCCTTATTCTGCTGTTTAAATCTAGTACCCTGACACAAGAGCTGTTTTCACTTGCAAGAGGCTTTTTTTCTTAATAAAACAGAGACATCAATTGCTTGCTAAACCACACAAACTGGTTTGCTTCCACCTGGAGAGACATTTTTCTAATTTGCGCCAAGGCATCCTATGAGCTAAGGTATCAGGTCAGGGGTGATCTTGTAAGCTTTTGTAATCTTCAGCTTCCTCATCTGAGAAGTGAAGGGAATAAAACACACTTCATAGGATTCTGGAGCGATACATATGAATAAAGAATCCAGTGTGATGCTCAGTTCTGGATAATAAATGCTCAATAAATAGTATTCTCATAGCATCTCCACAGTATTTACTTGAAAAATTTGCTTTGAAAAATTATGATGAGGAGTTTTTAAAAATCATAGAACAACTGGCCTGTGCTCAACTAATGCTAACAGGGTGGGTTTTTTTGGGTTTTTTTTGTCCTTTTTTCTCCCTAGTGTTCAATAATGACATGATAAATAGCAGAAAATGTGGATGAGATGGGAATTGTGAAGAGAGGGAGATTTTCAAAGTCAGGGCTCAGAAAACCTCATGGTAGAGGTAGAATTTTAAATAGGACATTCTATGCAATTTTTCCAAAAATACTTGGAAAGTATGTGTGACTAAAGTGATGGGGATGAAACTGAAAAATTTCTCTTTGGTCTCACTAGGTTTTTTTCCCCTTTGGCTGTTCCAAGCAGCTTGTGGGATCTTAGTTCCCCAACCAGGGATCGAACCTCAGTCCTCTGAAGTGGAAATGTGGAGTCTTAACCACTGGACCGCCAGGGAATTCCCACTATGTCTCAACTCACAAATTAAATAGCTGGAAAGTTCTTGAAAGAGGAAAAATAGCAGTAGACAATTGGAGAGATTCTTTGGAAATAGCAGTGGGTGAATATTCTTCAGCATAGGAGCCTTACCTCCGGAGCCACGGCGGATTATGAGAGGCTGATAACTGCTCCCTCAGGAAAGTGCCTGATGTCTACGAGGGCTGGCTGTGGAGCCACAGCTGCACTCGACTGAGAATATCTTTCCTACAACTATGTTGGTGACATTTCAGCTAGTGGCAGGAGCCCACTGCAGCAATGAATGGATTTGTCACTATCAGTTGATTGCCCATCAGACTCCTTCTGTCAACAAGCCTGGCTGCTGCTAATTCCCTCTGAAAAGAAAGAGAGATGTTCTTACTTCTGCCCCACATTCAAAGGTACATCTAGTCAACCTAAGATGATAAAGAACAAAAGACCAGTATAAAGAATGAAATAATGTCATTTGCTGCAACACGGATGGACCTAGAGATTATCATACTGAGTGAAGTAAATCAGACAGAGAAAGCCAAATACAATATGATATCCCTTATATGTGGAATCTAGAAAAAAAAAAAAATGAAACAAATGCACTTACTTACAAAATAGGAACAGACTCACAGACTTAGAGAATGAACTTATGGTTACCAGAAGGGGAAGGATGGGGGAAGGGATAGTTAGGGAGTTAGGGATCAACATGTACACCTATATTTAAAATGGCTAACCAACAAGGACCTACTGTATAGCACATAACGCTGCTCAATGTTATGTGGCAGCCTGGATGGGAGGGGAGTTAGGGGAAGAGTGGATACATGTGTATGTATGGCTGAATTCTTTTGCTGTCCACCTGAAACTATCACAACATTGGTAGTTGGCTATACTCTGATATAAAATAAAAAGTTTTTTGTTTTTTTTTTAAGAATGCAGCTTTCAGGTATTTCAAGGGTAGTATTAATATGATTTGAAAATCATATTTTCAAATATGATTCAAATTTCCAAATGCACCAAGTCACCAAATGCAAACATGAAAATTCTTATTTCTTTTCTGATTTTTTGCTGTGTGGATGGGATTTAGAATTTCATTCTGGCTCTTCCTCTGACTGCTTGTGCAACTCTGGTCTAGTCATTTAATTCTTCTGAATCTCTTTCTCTTCATTGTTTAAATGATAAAACTTCCCTTACTATCCTGGCTAAGGTAGAGCTTTCCTCCCTGTTACTTTGCATAGCACTGTCATTTTTATTTCCTTTCAAGAACTTGTTAAAAGTTGTAGCTATTTCCTGTATTTTATTATTATTTTATCATTTAAGACTCTGCCTCAAAATCTAGAAAGGACTCTGTCTTGTGCCCTATTGAATCTTTAGTTCATATAATGTGCACAAATATTTGTTTCAGAAATGAATCACATTATTCTTTGAAAAGAATAAAGCATTACAAAAGTTTAAGTCATCATTGTAATCTTTATTTGCCATTTAGTATTTGCTTTCAGTCTTATTTTCTCCTGCTAATTCACCCTTAGGTGAAAGGTAACAATCAGGAGAAAGATGTCTTGAATCATTCATGTCACAAGCACTAAAACTGTAAAAATCTTTGAACCATTTTTAACGCATAACTATTTTGAGCGTTTTAAGGGATGTCACTTTTGCCCTCAGAAGAGCCCTAATTTT